CAGTGTTGGGGAAAGTTACTTTTAAAAGTAATGCATTACAATATTGCGTTACTCCATAAAAAAAGTAACTAATTACGTTACTTTGGAAAGTAATGCGTTACGTTACTTTTGCATTACTTTTTAAATCTGGACAGGGCTTGCTTGTTTGATTTTAAAATAAAAAAAGTTATATTTTTGGCAAATATAAAAGCCTTTTCACACCAAAAGTGAAATGAATAAGCCTCAGGCTGAAGGGAAAGTACAGTAGAATGCAGAAGACGACATTTCAACACACTTCAGCAATAAACAAAGACACAAATGTTTGTCTAGAGTAATTTGTGTTTATTAGTACGCTTGAACTGCATCATCGAAGGCCAGAAGCAAAGACATTGCTTAATAGAATGGGATTAAATACATAAAGCATATTTGTGTTGTTTAACATTTATTTATTGCAGGTTTGCGTCATATTCTGAGTTGCATTATTTTTATTCATTTTGAGGAATACTGAATCTGTGTTTTTTTGTGTGAGTGAGTGAGATGAATTAATGCATATTCATATTTATTTTAAACTACAGTAACATCTGATTTCTCTCAACACGAGGACAGCAGAGCTGTCAGTCAATAAATTGGAAAAAAAGTAACTCAGATATTATCTTGCAAATTAAAAAGTAATGTTACTTTACTAGTTACTTGAAAAAAGTAATCTGATTACGTAGCTCGCGTTACTTGTAATGCGTTACTACCCTCAACGCTGTTTAAAACAATCATAAACATATAATACACACTGTTTCTCAATATTTAATTACAGCTTCAGATGCATGATGTTTTGAAGCACGTTCAAATCGGACGGTTGTCGTGTTAATAAACACCGTAAACAGCAACCGTTCGCTGTTTGCATTTTAGGGGGCCCTTGGCTTTTGCCTACCTACGTACGGCTCAGTACATACCCCAGCCGAGGACGTAATACCAGCCCAGCTGCTGCTCTCCCACGAACACGGCCACGATGATGAGCGTGTGCAGGTAGATCCCCTCACACAGCATCCAGAAGTAGCTGGAGCAGGAGGTGTACTGCATGATGCTAGCCAGCAGCTTACAGCCGATCTGAGACTGAACATCAACAACAACACGAGCGCCAAACACACGTCATTAAATATATAGTCTTTTACTCTGTTTATTACACAGCTGAATCAAATAATTGCTTCCAAAATCAGAATGAGGTATTGCCAAGCATTTAGGAGTTATGGGGACAGGTTATTAAATCAGATCATGTATATGTTTATATATTTATTTGTAGTTGTACAAAAGCAAATGGTTGAAATATGACTATTATTATTATTATATAAAACATTAAAATGATGATAAAATATTATGTTATGTAGGATTTTTTTTTTTTACTATTTTACTATATTTACTATTTTATTAACACATAGGAATATGCTGTATATATATATATTTTAGTATCATTGAGATACTATTATAGTTTGTTAATATTTTGAATTACGTTACATTTTTTCTGTTTTTACTTTAATTGTAGTAAATGTTTTAGTATATTTTAATACATGATTACAAGTTTTGTAAATATGTCCATTTAGTTTTTAATACTTTTTAATTATTAGTTTTGGTTTACTTAGTTTTAGTTATTTCAGTTTTAGTTTTTTAGTACTTCGTTAAACTAAACAAAGATGAGAATTGCTGAAATAAAACTGAAGTAAAATAAGTTCCCATTCAGTCAGTCACGTTCAACGTTACGTCAGTGACTGACGAATCGAAGGTGATTGGGCTCTCGGGCGAGATCCCAATTCGTCAGTCACTGACGTAACGTTGAACGTGACTGACTGAATGGGAACGTCTAGGTTGAGTCTACCGCAGACGTTTTTTAAAAAAAAATTTAAATTTTATTTCAAGTAACCATTTTTTTAATGGTTTTAGTTTCAGTTAATATATAAAAATATATATGATTTTTTTTAACCAAAAACAGATTTTTTTTTTTTGTAAATTAAGTTTTGTTCTTTGTCAATATGTCTATATAGTTTTGTTATTTAATTTCTGTTTATTAGTTTTAGTTTACTTAGTTTTAGTTATTTTAGTACTTCACAAATAAGAGTGGCTGAAAAAAAACTGAAGTAAAATAATTTGGAATATTTTATATTTTCAGCTAACATTGATTTTATTTCAAATAATGTAAATTATTTTTTAAAATGAGTTTTAGTTCGTATATAAAAAATATACATGTATGCATATGCTAACAAAGCAGATTTTATTTAAATAACATATATATGATTTTTTAAACAAAACATGTTATTTTTGTTATTTTGTATATTTGGCTTTTATTATTACAAATTGCATTCATATTTTAAGTGCACACATTAATTTTGACATATTTGTAATGCTTTTCCTCTCAATTTTTTTGCAACCCAGTTTGGAAACCTCTGTACAGTAAGTTACAGTATGAGAGAGCATCATGTTCAGCTCATATATACAGTATGCATGCACTTACCGAGTCTGTTCTGGTCCGCTGATCTCCGACGACGAAGTAGAACCAGCCGATGGTGGCGAACGAGTTCAGGATGAAGGAGGTGAACATGTTTTTATGAAGCGTGATCCGCTGGCAGCTCAAACACCTGCGCAGACATCATCCATTCACTTACATTCACAAACACAGAAATGATCTGCTACTGTCTCCTCACTGACAGCGTCTTCATGTGTTTGTTTTTCTGACGTACTTGAAGTATGAAAAGATGCAGATGGAGATGAGCAGCGAGATGATGGACAGGACATGCCCCACCATCGCCAGATAGTAATTGACTAACGTGAGCTGCGGGAGACACACAGAGGGTAAGCCGTCAGGATTCTGGAGGATTGGGTTGATGAGTAAAAGTGAAGCTCTGACCTCGAGTTTGTGCTTGGTGTAAGCGGAGCACTGCGTGTAATTGGACCACAGACGGTTGCTCTCCGGGTGACGAAACCAGCGGCCGTCTGAGGCGCACACTTTGGTCACTTTCTCTGATGGAGGGCAATGAGAAATGTGAGCAGAGTCTGTGTGCATCACACAAATTCATTTTTTTTCTATTTAGATTATTTTTGTAAAATTCCGTTTTAATGGTTAAATTAAAAAATGTTAAAAGTTAAAAAATTAAACGTTTAATCTAAGTAAATTAAATAATAATAAATAACTAAAATGTAATTTTTAGGGCTCTAGAAATGAGTTTTATTCATTTTTTCATTTTATTGTTTCTCAAATTCTGTTTTTATAAAAAAAATCATACAATTTAACAACAATTTATTGAAAAGTTAACCAAAACTAAATTTTTAGGGCTTTAGAAATCGGTGTTATTTATTTTTAGTTTTTTTCTGGATTATGCTTTAATTAATATTAATAAACTTGTCTAATCAATCAATTTAATTCATGAACAAATGTAACAATTAAATAATTTTATTTATTAATTGAATTTATTAAAACACTTGTATAATAATAGGGAACTCTGAAATCAATTTTCAAACTTGAAATCAATCAAAAAACCTTGCAATTTAACTTTAATTTAAAATAAATTTTTAGGTGCCTAGTAATCCGTGTTATTTCCCCCCACAGACGGTTGCTCTCCGGGTGACGAAACCAGCGGCCGTCTGAGGCGCACACTTTGGTCACTTTCTCTGATGGAGGGCAATGAGAAATGTGAGCAGAGTCTGTGTGCATCACACAAATTCATTTTTTTTCTATTTAGATTATTTTTGTAAAATTCCGTTTTAATGGTTAAATTAAAAAATGTTAAAAGTTAAAAAATTAAACGTTTAATCTAAGTAAATTAAATAATAATAAATAACTAAAATGTAATTTTTAGGGCTCTAGAAATGAGTTTTATTCATTTTTTCATTTTATTGTTTCTCAAATTCTGTTTTTATAAAAAAAAATCATACAATTTAACAACAATTTATTGAAAAGTTAACCAAAACTAAATTTTTAGGGCTTTAGAAATCTGTTATTTATTTTTAGTTTTTTTTCTGGATTATGCTTTAATTACATTTTAATAATCAAAAGCTTGTCTAATCAATTTAATTCATGAACAAATGTAACAATTAAATAATTTTTATTTATTAATTGAATTTATTAAAACACTTGTATAATAATAGGGAACTCTGAAATCAATTTTCAAACTTGAAATCAATCATAAAACCTTGCAATTTAACTTTAATTTAAAATTAATTTTTAGGTGCCTAGTAATCCGTGTTATTTCCCCCCCCCAAATTCTGTTTACATTTTTCTGAATTAATAATCAAAAAGCTTGTCTAATCAGCTGAATTCATAAAACTTTAACAATTTAATAATTTATTGATAATGATGACGTTTTTTTTTAATTAAATGAAGCTGTAATGTTGTCAAATTATGCAAAAAGTGAAAAAAATATCATTTTTGTTAAATTCAGAATACTTCAATTAAATTAATAATTATATATATAAATATATAACTAATATTTTGTTCTAAGAATTGAATCAAATCAAATATTTCTTGCTGAAGCTACTTTTCGTAATGTCTACTTGATGCTTTACACAACAATGACTTTAAATGATCTTTGGGAGTAATTTCTCAGCCAGATTTGATGTGCGATTAATTTGCAATTAATTAATCGCCACATCATGAAATTAATTAGATTTAAAAATGGTATTGCTTTACAGCCCTAATATATATATATATATACACACACACACACACACATATATAGGCCTATATATATATCCCAGATTCAACATGGTCTCAGACTTTTGGACCCCACTGCATGTATTGTTGGTGGTGTATATAAATTATGGGATAACATTTCTATGATCTGGTTGTCACACAGAGGCTGCATCACTGTGAGTGACAGCTGTCATCAGCTCACCGGTTGGATCAAAGTCCTGGAAGTAGGCGGGGCATAGCTGAACTGCCGTTCCGGGGGCGGAGTCTCCCCAGCAGAGCCACCCGTCCCACGTGCGGTTACAGTATGGGCCTGCAGGGGGCGACACACACAAACACACACACACACACACAGATGGTTATGGAGTCAGGTAGCCCAGTGCTTACTGAGCTTGACAGATTAGCCCTCAGGTGCTAGAGAGGAGAGAGAGACAGATTTTGCTTGGCATCCGAGGCAGTTCCTCAGGGGATGAAGCAGCCACCACAACCCCCTCCACCACCCCTCTTTCAGCTCCACAACTTCTCATCGCCAACCCCCTTTATCCTTAAACCAACCCCCATGCATCAACAGACATCCACATCCACCCCCTCTGATTCCTCCCCATTTAAATGTAACGGACTTCAGCCCAGTACCACGACAGAGTGATTTAATGTGAAAGACTCATGCGCTGCATTTACAATCTGTGACTCATCGCAAACTTGTCGATCATATCACACACACACACACGCACACACACACAGACACACACACACACACACACACACACACACACACACACACAGATAAATACACACACACACACACACACAGATAAATACACACACACACACAGATAAATACACACACACACACAGAGATAAATACACACACACACACACACACTAACACAAACACAAACACACACGCACACACACACATACAGACACACACACACACACAGATAAATACACACACACACACACACACACACAGAGATAAATACACACACACACACACACACACACATTGAACTGAATTGATCTGAATAATACAGCTTTAGTTCCATAATTGATTAATTTTATTGCATTAACACTAAAATTGTAATGTTTGTTACTGTGAATGAGTCGATCTGTATCGTATAAAACACTATATTGTTTTCTATTTTGAATTATTTTAGCAAAGTAAAGTTAATTTAACAGTGAAATATCTAAACATCATTAAAGCAAAATTAATCTGACTTGTTTTGAAGAGAACAGATTTTGAAATTAAGTTTGTGGCCAAATATGGCAAGTGTTATTTTTATTTATTATAAATGATCATATATCATATTATTACTATATTATATATTATTATATACTATTATAACATATATTAATATTATTACTAATATTACTAATATTTATTAAATTAGTTTTCATTTTAGTATTTGCTTTTGACATTTGTATTATTTTCTAAATTAATTTTATTTATTTTTATTTCAGTTTCAGTAATTTTATTATGTAAACTTAAACATTTCTAACTTTTATCTTTTAATTTTTTTTTTTTTTAAGTTTAAGCATTTCGTCTAATATTTATTTTTTGTTTTATTTCAGCTTAATTTCATTTTAAAAAGATTTTTAATTATATAATAATAATAATATTAATAAATAATATATAACAATATAAAATGTTATTATTATAATATTATTATTAATTTGAAACATATTTAACAAAGTTGCCAATGGGGCAAGAAAAATACTACTGCTTATAATACTAAATGTTATTAATAATGCATTGTAATAATTAATAATATTTTAAAAATCATTTAAAAGAGTCTTAATGTCATGCAATATTTGCTTCTTCAGTAAATGTATCTTGTTTGAAAGATTTCTAGATGTTTTGCTGTAACTACATTATCTCCAGAACACAGCAGAAACACTCGAGACTAAAGCGTGTTTCCTCATAACTCTCTCGTGTACAATCACAGGAAACAAACTCTGACGCTATAAACCACTTCCTGTCTTTCAGAAGAGAGGACAGCCGTGCTGCAGTGGATTCTGGGAGCTTTATCTCCACACCGGCAGACGATTAGATTAGAGTTACATAATTACACTAATTATTACTGTACGATCATTAAGCCATTATCAGCTTCCTCAAAGTCCCTCCATAAAAGACCGAGCGATCACGATGTGAACCCGTTATCATTCCCACAGGAGCCGAACGCAAAATCATACGGAAATTATTACTAACATTACTAGATATCAACATTAACGGAAGAAAATGGAAAAGTATTTCATGATAAAGCTGCCAATGCTTTGCTACGCAGTTCAGGGTTTTTAGAATCAAACACTAAAACTAAAACCATTAAAAAAATGATTTTCAATAATTAAAATAAAATAAACTTTAACTGAAAAAAATTACATATATAGATAAACCTTATTCAATAAACATTTTAAATAAAAATAATAAAAACTATTCAGACATTTAAAATAACGATAATAATAAAAAATGATTAAAACATGCACAAAACACAAAAAAACTTGAACTCAAATTAAAACAGAAAATATTAAAATAAAAACGATATATTATATCAATACAAACTATAACATTCTTTCAGAATTGATTTTAATGACAAATATTGCCCGTGTTATTTTAGCATTGTTAATATAATATTTATTAATATTTAAAATTAGTTTTTTTTAATATTTTCGTTTAAGTTTTAGTCATTTTGTTGTGTGCTTTTGTCATTTAATTTGTTTTTTAAATATTTCTATTTAGCCTAAATTTAGTTTTTCAGTTTTAGTAAATAAATTACAAAATAATAATAATAATATTAAGGATAAACATCAATTTATTTTATTTCAGTTATTTGCCATGGCAATGTTTCTAATGTTCATATTTTTTATCTATTAAATATAAATATATATATTTTTAAACATATATTTATCAAAGATGTCTTTGAGTGCGTGTGTGTGTGTGTGTGTGTGTCTGAGTGAGTGTGTGTGTGTGTGTGTGTGTGTGAGAGTGTGTGTGTGTGTGTGTGTGTGTGTGTGTGAGAGTGAGTGTGTGGGCTGGGTTCTCTCACCCGGGTCGCTGCGCTGCGGCTCGTACATGATCTTCAGGTAACACTCAAACTGTGCCGAGAGGATCTGCTCGCGCGTCACTTTCAGATCAAGAGAGGATTCTGGGATATCGCTCATCATCGCCATGACGAGCCCGTCCTCACAGAGACACAGCTGCAGCATTACACACAAGACACACACACACTTCACAATCAGATCAAACATTAGCTACAGTAACAACTTTAGTTAACATCAACTCACAAGGAACTTACCAGCATTTTTAGTACTTCAACTAAATCTTAAGCTTTTACATTTTGTGTGCTTTTATCTTTATTATTATTATTTCGCTTAAAATCTTTTTAGTAGTTTTAGTAATTTAAGTACTTCAAGAATTTACTAATTTATTGTATGCTTTTGTCATTTTTATTTATTTATTTGTTTAGCTTAAATTTGTTCTTAACCTTTAGCGTCAGTAATTATACTTTAGCTTAAACTTATTTTATTTCAGTTAATTTATTTGCATTTTATTAAATTTTCTCAAATTTCAAATTTTCTTTTATTTCAAAATTTTTTCATTTTAATTTCAAATTTGTCATTTAATATTTACATTGTTTTTTATTTCAGTTTTATTTCAATGAACTAAATGATTTTTAAAACTGCAGATATTAATAATAATCACATACATATATAACAGCATTCATTCATCTTACATTTACTAATAATTAATAAATATGTTTAGGTATTTTTAAACCAAAAGTTAGTTATCATTAGTTAATACACTGTAAACTAACACGAACAAATAAGGAACAATTGTATTTTTTATTAATAACTAACATTAACAAAGGTTAATAAAGGCTGTAAAAATATATTGCTCATTGTTAGTTCATGTTAGAGTTACTATCGTTAACTATAACTAAAACCATTTAAAAAACAATTTACTCGTTACTTAATAAAATAAAATGTGTCTGTAATATTATTTTTTTCAGCTAGTTACCAAAGCAATATTTCTACTTTTTCTTTAGTGTAACCTGAAATACTAAAATAACTTTAAAAATACTAAAAAATAAAAAAACGACATATATAGATATAAATATATTTTTTAAATAATTAATTAATACTATTTATTAAATAATAAGTGTTTTAATTATTTTCTGTTTTATATATACAAGTAGATTTATTATTAAATTATTCTTAAAAATATTATTAAACGTACAATACTATATAGTATTAAATATGTAAACTTTTTACAAATAAATCTACTTTTAATCTACTTTTCAACAACTTATAGTTTTATAAATAATAATATACAATTTGATTGTATTTCATAACACACACACACACACACACACACACACTTACACACACTCACACACTCACTCACTCACACACACACTCACACACGCACACTCACTCACACACACACACACACACACACACACACACTTACACACACTCACACACTCACTCACTCACTCGCACACACACACTCACTCACTCACTCACACTCACACACGCACACTCACACACACACACACACACACACACACACCTGTGTGTCCAGCAGTGTTAGGAGCAGCAGCAGGACTGACAGGTCTCTTGTCATGATGACTTGAAGGTGGCGCTAGAGAGCATCTGTGTCTGCGGCCAAACACAAATATATCAATACTGCTTCATCAGTGCGTGCTGCTGCCAAACATAAACATTGACATGAACAACACTTGTGTTTCAGTGCAGAAAACAGTGCTTTCTCCAGCTCCAGAGCAGCTGAGGCTTGGAGTCTGTATCTGCACGGGACGCTCATGAGAACACGAGTGTTTATTTAGGGAGAGGATGTCTCTGTCTGTCTGTAAACACAGCGGTCAAAGCCCTGCGGCCGCAGATTCACACTACACACCACTACACACCACTACACACTCACAGCACAGGAGGAGGCTTTTACTTTCACATTACATTCAAATGAATGATGACATCTTTATAAAACAACCTCATTCATGGCTTTAAGTCTAAAGGGTTATGCATATTAACCCAGCTAATATTAATTACATTAAATGCATGTGGCATTTAATATATATAATACATAACTAATTACAAATAGTGATTATTAATATTATAAATAATTAGTTTATAACAATATTTTTTATAATATTTAATAATTTTAATTATATAATTAAAACAAATTATTGTAAATAAAATTGTATGAAATACATGTAACAGTAAATATACAAACTAGTTATTATATTATATATCACTATTACAAATGATTATCAATTAAAAAAAATTCTGTATTAAATAAAAAATTATAGTTTATGTATATTACTAGATTTAAAATGTACTATCCTAAATACATGTAGCATTTTATATATATAATACAAAATTGGTTTAATATAATGCTAATTAATATTTTCTATAAATATAATTAATATTTTCTATATATATAATTATATCTAAAACATACATGATATATAACAAAATGTATATTTTAAATAAAACATAAATTTTTTTAATTAAAATGGTCATTAATGATAACAAATTAACATTAATAAAACATTATTTAACAAAATGTATATATTTCTGTAATTAATAATATGTATGTATACATTACATAACACTTATCTTTTACATCTATTAATAGATCTAATAAAATAAAGTTTATTAAATACATGTAGCATTCAATATATAATACATAACTATATTTATTAAATACTGTTGTTAATTATTACAGATTATTAATTAATAAAACAAACATTATTATTTAATAAATAACATACACATTATTATATTGTATGTATAATTATTATATTATATATAAATACGCTCACACCTTGGCAATGGTTTAAAGACAGATTCTCGGTTACACTTTATTTCGATAGTCCACTTTAGACATTCTACTAACTATAAGTAACTTTGTAACTACATGTCAACTACATGTCAACTAATTCTCATTAATTTGCAACTACATGTCAACTAATTCTCATTAATTTGTAACTACATGTCAACTAATTCTCATTAATTTGTAACTACATGTCAACTAATTCTCATTAATTTGTAACTACATGTCAACTAATTCTCATTAATTTGTAACTACATGTCAACTAATTCTCATTAATTTGTAACTACATGTCAACTAATTCTCATTAATTTGTAACTACATGTCAACTAATTCTCATTAATTTGTAACTACATGTCAACTAATTCTCATTAATTTGTAACTACATGTCAACTAATTCTCATTAATTTGTAACTACATGTCAACTAATTCTCATTAATTTGTAACTACATGTCAACTAATTCTCATTAATTTGTAACTACATGTCAACTAATTCTCATTAATTTGTAACTACATGTCAACTAATTCTCATTAATTTGTAACTACATGTCAACTAATTCTCATTAATTTGTAACTACATGTCAACTAATTCTCATTAATTTGTAACTACATGTCAACTAATTCTCATTAATTTGTAACTACATGTCAACTAATTCTCATTAATTTGCAACTACATATCAACTAATTCTCATTAATTTGCAACTACATGTCTACTAACTCTCAGAGTAGACTGTTAGGGTAGGTTTAGGTTTAGTAGAATAAGTTGACAAAGAAAGTGTTAGAAGATATTAAGCAGACAGTCTACTAATACTCTACTAACTGCTAGTTGACATGTAGTTGCAAAGTTACTTACTGTTAATAGAATGTCTAAAGTGGACTATCGAATTAAAGTGTTACCAGATTCTCTTTTTTAGAGTCCCTCGTAATAACAACCACGCCACTGTTTCTCCCGTTTGATTGTGTTTGCGATGAAAGAAAGCTGCTTCTCTGTAGTAATTGTAATCTGTAGTAACTACTAGACTCATCAAACTACAGGACAGAACGAATAGCGGCTAGTTAGCGGGTTAGTGTGTGTGTGTGTGTGTGTGTGTGTTCTGTGGGCTCTGAGAAGCGTTTGGTTTCCTGCTGATTTACTCACTACAGCGTCTCGAGGGGCAGAAACATTATACACCCCGTCTTTCCCATGAGTTTAAGGTCAGAGGTCACCGTCATGAGAGACATCCACTGCACAAACGTCCCAGATCTTTCATTACTCCAGAGGATGCGTGTTAGTTTAGCATCACAGGCATGACATGAATTAATGGTGTTTAGAATCACTAGCCTGATGTTTCATTTAATATTGAAATATTAAATATATTTATATGTATTTAAACAGCAATATTTAAATAAATAAAATCTCTAATTGCTTTAACAAATGATGCAATATAATAAAATGCATGAATGTTTAATTTAAAATGTCTTTAAATAAATGATCATATTTAAAATTAACTATTATTTTATTAAATAATTTTACGAAATGTGCAAACTAATGGTAAATTAATATTAAATACATTGAAATAGTAATATTTGAATATGACATATTTAAATAAATATTCAATGTTTAGATTATTAGACTATAGTTTATTGCACATTTTTATTTTTATAGCCTGAGCGTGTTTGATCGTACATCTTAAGAAGTTAAAAGCGTCTGGTTCCTCGTGGAGAAGGTTATTTCTGTTCTGAGGAGCAACAGGAAGCAGAAAGAGAAGAGAGGCCTGACTTCCTGCGCTGTCTGTGAGGACAAAAATAAGCCATTGTTGCTTATTAGAAACCGACAAAACGCCGATCGCTCCGAATCAAACGCTCACAGAATCCAGAGGAGATTCCAGAAAGCAGGAACATGATGTTGATGTTGTACAGCCGAACCGCCGGCAAAACCTGATCAAACGCAATCCTGAAAAACTCTGGCAGATCATTTTACATTCACGCTAATTATACAAATACCTGATAGATGATCAAGCTGAAGAGAAACAGCTGATCACGTGCACATCATCCACAGTCATATGTGCGTGTGTGTGTGTGAGAGTGTGTGTGTGTGTGAGTGTGTGTGTGTGTGAGAGTGTGTGTATGTGTGAGAGTGTGTGTGTGTGTGAGTGTGTGTGTGTG